AAACCCGATGCTTGTCAGGACTTCTGACGCGCAGTTTTCCGTCGTGGATGAATAAGCTTCATCTGAGATTCAGTCTTCGTCGACTTAGTTGATTGGGTATTAACCGAGTTTATGGGCGCCTGTGGTTAGTGCCGCGTGGTCAGGCCACCCAGAAGTCGTGCCCATGTGATCCTTTGTGTGCCGAAAGTAATAGGCATATGCTTGCTTGAGGCATGATAATCATGTACTTAGAGTGGACACTCCAGCTCACTTCGATTTCTATTCGTTTTAATTTTTCTGTCCAAGATATTATGGCGGAACGGAGTATGTGGACGCAATGGAGAGCCTGTGTATAGAACGCGCGCTGAAGCTTTTCAATCTATCGCCAGAAGATTGGGGCGTTAATGTCCAACCCTACAGTGGGTCCCCAGCCAACTTTGCCGTTTATACGGGTCTTGTTGGCCCCCATGGACGAATAATGGGGCTTTCGCTTCCTGATGGAGGCCATCTAACTCACGGATTCTTCACAGCCAGTGGGAAAAAGGCAAGTAAATGTTTCTAGACAAGGATCCCAGACAGATATTTAATCGAAATTTTGTTTCAAGCCAGTGTTTTAGCCTTCGCCCTAGCTTATACACTGAGGACTTCATAGCGAACGTTATATTATCCCTCTTAATTGTCCACAACATTTGTGGAAAGCAGCTTCTCGTCTAAAATTTTAGTCTTAATATCCTACGAACACTTACATACATCGTCGCAACGTGGATCGGCAGTCTTAGACGTTAGTTGCGTCTACTAGTTCGCGATCTTTCAGCCTAGAGTCCCCATTTCATCCTGCCACCCTTTACAATATGTATTCTGCTGAGTGATTGTTTTAGTTTTTTTATCCGTAACGGTCTACAGATTTTCTCGTAAGAACTCTCCTGCTTTTTCGTCTCTTCTCTGAAAAACAAAAAAAACTGTCAGGCGACGCTGTTAGCAACTGTTGAGATTGAGGTGTCACAAACCTTCTGGAGTGTCGCTCATCTTCACTCAAGCGTCTACCGTCAATCGATCATCCATGGAAATGAGTCCGCTGTCTAAAACTGTTCAGATTAGTCGTACTGAAGGCTTTCAGGGTATTAATAGGTATTTGGATAAATATACTTACTACGGGGACCGCACTGTTGAAGGAGACTTTGCGCCAGGTTAACCAATGCCATCTTAAGGTAGCCTAATTTGAACATCGACTCTTATATGACGTTAGGGGGTATGGTCAATTTAGGTTGGATACAGCGCGTTTATTGTCATGGCCTGGACGACTGCGAACGACTGTCCTATAGACTGCCTCGGTTCTACGATATTTTATGGAAAGCATAGCGAATGTATGACATTTCCAGACACGAAACCATAAACTGATCCCTAGCGTCCCTGAGACAATTTCGATCGTCGTCGTCGCACCGGTCAACCTACCAATATCTCTGGTACGCCGTCCGTGTTCTTAAGGCAAGCAATATTGAGAAAGTTCTAGTGACCAGTATATATTCGTGTGTAAATGGAAGTTTTGATCCTAGGCTGCCTATCACGGTAGAAATTATGCAGAAGAATTAACTCGATGCCGACTTCTGATACTTTGAAATGAGAACTTTAATACAGAAACATATTTCGGTTAGTTGAGACACTTCGATTGGAGGTTTTCAAATTCCTGCAAATTAATCGATTCATGCCTTTCTCCTGTTACGAAGGGTTTTGTTAGTGACTTTCTAGCACGCACCTAGAATAGCACTGCGATCTAGACATGCCAATGTTTGGGGATGCGGCTTTTAGTGATTGCGACTGTCGAATAATTTAATTCACAACTTACTGCTTATATGATTTTCGATCTTCATTTTTTTAAACACTTTGAGAAGGCAGTTTAGAGCAGACGTAACGTAACATCAATTTTAATTAAAGCTCTTACCACACGTATTTACAATTCTTCACCACGTTCTAAGTCGATAAAAACCACAGGAGAGGCGAAACAGTCCTTCTGAATGCCGTTACATGAGCCCGTCGTTCGTCTATTCGGTTTCTGTTTATCTGTAAGTTTCTGCATTAGTATCTTCCGCCTTTTGACCTACATTTCTTAGATATACCGTTCTTCCCCAGTACTGTGTGATGTAGTAAAATGTGACAGGCTTACTGACGACTAAGCTTTATACAATATCTCGAAAACTACCGGTTTGGGCATTTCTAACTGTTTTTCTAGAAGTCCAAATATTAATCTTCAACATTCATTGGTGAACGCTCACCGATCGCTAACGGAACTCATTCGCCCCCTTCTGTTTTGAGGCTCAGTCTCGAGCCCTGTTTGCAGCTGCATGGCGGCTAGCCATATGGGTGGATGAGCATTGCCGTTAAGGACAAGAGAGACTGAAATGACCATTTCAGGTAGGTTTGTCGTCATCAGCCAGTCATTATAATCAATCTGCCTTTATCTATCTTTGCCGACAACGTTCATTTTCCTACACTACTAGCCACTGTGTGGCTGCTGACGGGGCTCAAAATTGAGCTCCAAGACGGAACGGAGACTTTCCATTAGCGATCGGAGAGTATTCCCTGACAATTGTCTGAACTGGCAAGAGAACCCCGTGACTCAGTGGTTTGAGCTTTTGATCAACAGGTCGCGTTTTCGAGCCCTCGGTGGTGCACCACCTGAGTTTGGGTATGACTGGCTGATGAAACAGGAGTGACCATTCCAGTCTCCCTAGTCTTTGTCGGCAATGTTCATCTGTGTATACGTTAATTTTATTCTATGATTTCCTCAGGGCAGAGGAAATTGTTGTCTTGCTAGTACTTTGACCTTGACTTCTACTGCATCCAGACGCCAGAGCTCTAACTCAACCCATCTCGGAAGGCAGAACGCATTGGCCAGAATAAGTCTTTGTCCCTTGGTAGGAATACC